TTGGCTAATTTTGTTTAGCGGCATATCTATCATTAAGGATTATTTAATGCTGAAATCTAAATAATTAGAACACAGTTTTATGGCTTCAATTAAATATATTTTGAACGCAGTTTTAAGCCTTCAGCTACAGATAAAATGTATTGTTGGTAATTTTACTATAAATGTGTATTGTTGGTCGTTTTTTTATATAAAAATATATTGTTGGTATGTTTACTATAAAAATGTATTTTTATACTTTCATAATCTTGTTTTTGTTTGAGGGTTCACTGTTTGCCCCTAACAGGTGCTACCTTGCCGAGTCATGATGGGCCTGAGAACAATAGCAATTAACAGATGGCTCCACAATCCTCAAAACCTCCAATCTCCCAATCAGAGGCCTTGTTGCCGTGTATAGTTTATCCAGGGATAGTTTGTAACTATAAATGATAGAATTAATCTGTAAAAAGGATAATAAATAGAAATTTGTGATTTTTTTTTTCAAAGTCCACAATCATTACAATATTGTATCGAATCAATTGCTAGGTCTGCTATTAGGAAAGTTGACTCATCGTGTTGTTCTAGATAATTTATCTCTCCAGAATCTATCATACATATTTATAAGTCTACCGTTCATCCACACATTGAATATTGCTGCCACATCTGGTCTGGTGATTTTGCTATGTATTTAGAGAATGCTGGTGAAATCCAAAGAAGAATCTGCAATGTTATTGATCCTGATTTGGCATCTCGGCTTCAGTCACTTCCCCCTACCGCCTTAATGTAGTTTCTCTGTGCCTTTTCTATGAATACGTTTATGTTAATTGTTGCGATGAACTATTCGCTAATGAACCGAGACTTTATGAATCGCAGTACAAGATTCGCCAACAGTCCTCATGGTTTTACAATTGAAATGCCTCGATGTAACCGTAGGTTCTATGCTAATAGTTTCTTCTCTCGTACTTCTCGCGTGTGAAAGTCTCTTCCGGCTTCTTGCTTCCAAGTTAACTTTGATCTTCAATAATTTAAACGCAATGTTAATCGTTATCTTCTGTCTTCTTAATTTCTGTTCTTTTAATGTTTTCTCTCTCTTTAATAGTGCTTCTTTCTCATATTCTCTAAAACCCAGTAAGCCTTTGCGTCTTAGTGGATCTATTCTCTTGCTTGTTGTGAAATGATTAAAAAGTATACAAGGTTTAATACGATTCTGTAGTTCTCTTAAAACATTATAATTTTCAATAATACCTTCTATCATATCAATTACACAGGTCAACACGATTTTTTAGTGTCTAGAAACAAAAGACATCTTTAGCTAATTTGCTGATTCCGAAAATGAACTTAGTTTTTCATGCTTAGCTGACATTTGTGCTGTACTGAAATTGCTCATTTTTGGAAAAAAACATCAATTTACGATAATGGACGATCGCAAAATTTAGTTAATATAGTGGTAGAAAACCCATCAGGTAGGCCGAGCAATTTATGTCAACCACCTGAAAAAAAACTATTTTTATAAGAAAAATGTGTTTTTGAGTCAAAAATTTAAAAATAGAAATACCGATTTTTTCCAATTTATCTCTAAAATTCAAATTAACTGATAAATTTTATCAGTAATACACTTTAGTAAAACTGATAATTAAGGTGACGAAAAAATGAAACCTTAAAATCTTCTGTTTGATATTCATAAATTTATCCTATCACATTTAGCCATTCACTACAGGAGGAAACCAAAGCACATTGAGAGTATTTTCTTTTCACAGTTGGAAAGAAATTCTAACTAAAGACATCCCAGTTGACTGCACCTATTCCATTGTACATGATAGTGATGGAGTATCAAAATGGACTTAAATAACATTGAACATGTCAGACAATCAAGAAAGAGAAAATATTTACCATCATTCTTATGTTCACGAAGGTTTTATTTCTGCTGTTAGTTTATTAAATGATTTGATAAAAATACTTGTTGGTCTTGGTATATTCAATTCTGTTATTTTTAAACGCTTAGGGTTTGATTGTTATTGCAAAAATAGTATTTCTCAATAAGCAGACCAATATCTGTTGGTTTATATACGAATTAAGAGGTTTTTACAATTTTATTTTGAGAAATATTGCCATCGGTCAATATCATATATACAGAAACCTTTAAATCATCAGATATCACTCAAATGATGTTTCAGAAAAGTATGTTTTATTTTTGAAAGGATGTATTAACAGATTTGTCAATATTGCTGATTTTAGCAATTTTAACAATTTCTAAAAAACATTCCAATCAATTTACACTCGGTCTGAAATATAGCAAAGTATTTTTCTTATTGGAAATATTAAATTTCATCTCTTAGCTTGAAATTAAATCTAAAATAAAAGTTTCCAGATAGAGTTTTCACTTTTAAAATGCATGTTAAACCTTAGATATATATATATATATATATATATATATATATACATGCATATATATATTTAAAACATATATATATATATATATATATATATATATATATATGTGTGTGTGTATATATGTGTATATACATATATATGTGTGTGTGTGTCTATATATATGTGTGTCTCTCTTTTATATATATGTGTGTGTGTGTCTATATATATATATATATATATATATATATATATACAGGGCGCGGCAGAAATTTTGCTAAAAAAAATACTTCCCACATTTTAAACTCTCACCTGTTGAGTGCTAATGAATTTTGTCAAGTGGCAATAATGTCTTCATCTAGCTAATGTCATATTATTCTCTGTCAGATTCGATTAGTTACCATTATGACCGGTGCATACCATGCGTTTACTTTTGAAACTTTTTTTTATAAGACTATAATTGCAACATAGGAAGCTTTTCTTTCTTTTCTTTTTTTTTTGGTGGGGGGGCTCATTTCATGTAACGTCGAAATGATGCTGTTCCGAATAGAAAACCGATACTGCTATGGTTTGAATGTTTCATAGCCACAGGTTAAGCGCTTAAAAAAAGACCTCGAAGCGCTCGAAGTTCCGGGTGACAGAAAACTTTAAAAATCGTCTACAAGAGTGTATGGCGAATAGTGGCCACCATTTGGAGGATGTCCTGTATAAAAAAAAAACCAAATGAATATAAACGACAGGTCTTTGTTTAAACGACAATGAAATCATTTTTTTACTAGAAGTTACTTTGGTCTTTTTATCCACATTTAAAATGTAGGAGGTATTTCTGCCGCACCATATATATATATATATATATATATATATTAGTTCGCATTGTGATTAGGAAATTGGTTCAGAAATCCAATTTTCTGTTCTTTGGAGAAAGGTTCCTTTAATAAGATATCATCAAAAATGATGAAATCTTAGACTTCCGAAGCAGAAAAATTCTTCACGCAGAAATCTTCTACCAATTCTGCTTCCACGATCTCATTATATTAGTCTTCTAAAATTGGTCAGTTCTTACTTTGTTGAAGTCTTCTTTACGCCAACACGTCTTCTTTTGTATCCCAGACAGGAAAACTACTATATATAGGAATTAAAGGATTTTATTGGTTCGCCCGAAGACTGACAGTCGATTAATTTTGCTTCCCCATGCTTCTAATTGTGCGCAGGCGCCATTAATGAATGCTGAGCGAGAACCCGATGTGAAGAGAGAGAGAGAAAAAGAGAAACAGAAGAAGAAAAAGAAACGAAGAACAAAAAATAGAAAAGACGGAAAGAGAAAGAAAGTCTAAAAGAAAAATGTATAGATAGAGAGAAGCAACGAAGTTGTGAGAAAAAAATCTTCGAAAAGACGAACAGTCAGTACGCGAGATCTCTTCTCCTGTAATGGCGGTGAATGGCGGACAATTTACTCAAAGATGAAGACGAGACTTGAAACAAGAGAAGTGCCATGGACCGAATATGTGAGCAACGACGAGGTTTTAGAGAAAATGGAAACAAAAAAGGAAACTTATACTTTACATCAGAAACAGGCAGTTGAAATTTCTAAGGCACATAATTAAGAAAGAGGGCTTGGAAAATCTGATACTCACAGGACAGATTGAGGGAAAGAGGAAAGCAATGCGTAACATACTAGATGGGCTTGAGTGAATGGACGATAGAACAGGGTTTGGGAGAAATAATAACAAAAAGACAAAACTTATTAAGAGCCACAAGGGACAGGAAGATGTGGAGGGTCATAATCGTCAACGTTCTGATGGGACACAACACATTCAAGAAGAAGCTGGCATATCCTCGCCTATAAAAGCAGTAATAAGTTTCATCTAGTTCTATGGTAAGCCCTGTGTTCATTATTTGTGACAATGCAGAAATACAGGGTAATGTATACACTCTTTAAATATTAATAGTTAATAATACATTACCGTGATTTGAGAACTTGTATGGATGAAAATATGCAAAACAGATGGATTGGAAGAAGATGGACAGTTGAATACCCACCTAGATCACTAGATTTGACACCCTTGGATTTCTTTTTGTGCAGGTTTCTAAAAGACAAAGTTTACAGCAGGAACCTGAAACAATTGCTGAAATGAGAGTAGCCATTGAAGAAGAATATGCTCAAATACCAGAGGAAATGATACTGGTCATTTGTAGGTCTATTTCTTCAAGATATGAAAAGTGTATTGAACAGAACGGCAACCAATTTGAGCACTTGATGTGAACTCATCATTATATGAATATTCTGCCATTGCCCCAAGTAGCTTTTATCTTATTAAAGGTAATTTTCTATGTTTTTTTTGTATATTTTATTCTCAAATTCTTTAAATGTCTATTTTTTCTCTTGTATTAATCTTTTTTACAAGTCAAAATACATAAATTGAATAAGTTATAACGATTCAAAGATTGTATACATTATTTTGGGACACCCTGTATATACAACGTCTCAAGTAAATCGCCATCATAAGAAAGGAAAGATGCTTATCAATCCTGAAATTATATCATACAAATCAGTTAGCTCACGTGTATGAAAAGAATTTTCGTTTTTTGCATACATTTACTCAAAAGCTTATTTCATGTACACACCTATAGACTAACTATTACGCCACTCCATTATTTACACCGCTTCTCCTACGATCACCGAAGTTAAGCAACGTCGATCCTGGTCAGTACTTAGGTGTGTGTCTGATTGGGAATACCAGATGCTGTAAGGTTGGATGTGCGGGTGGTATAATGGATAATAGCTTGGAATTGTTAATCGGGGTGTCGAGTTTCAATTCCTGTATTATCCACTTTATCTCCACCTCTAGTTATGGGTGAATTAATAAGACTGTTATCACCATTATTATCTAAAAAAAAAAATAAAGTCTTAATATTTAAAAATATTTTCTGGCTTTAAATAACATGAAAAGAGTTGATAAATCGCGAAAAACGACTCAGCTACCCAACCGACATCAATTTGTGTGCCAGATATGTCGATGAACTACATCCGACAGCAGGGCCACTGGTCTGGAGGTTTTTCGAAGCCTGGAACCATCTCTTAATTGTTGTTGTTCCAAGGTCCACCCTGACCCTGACCCGGTGTGTGAAGCAATGTCAAGCCTGTGTGAATGACCACTTGGAAATACGAGGTACTATAAGCGTGGATATGCGAGTAGTGTGCTAGATAATGGCTAGGAATTGTTAGCCTTTGAGCCCAGTTTTAATTCCAGTCGGGTTCGTTATCTTCACTTTACGCGCAAATAGCCTTGGGAAAGATTATGAATCCACCTCAACTCTACCTCCAGCTATGGGTTAATTAGTAAAACTTTTATCACTAAACCATTATCATCTAAAAATAATTCTTAATATTTAAATATATCTCTGGCTTTAAATAACATGCAAAGGGTTGATAAGCTGTAGAAAACGAATCAGTAAGCCAAACAGACCTCAATGTGGGTGCCATAAGTTCCAACTGAATCTTTCTTACCGTCCTCGGTATGACGATAAACTACATCCGGCTGCAAGGCTTCTGGTCTGGAGGTTTTGGTGAGCCTGGAACCACCTCTTAATTGCTGTTGTTCCAAAATCCACTCTGACGCGGGGTAGTAAAGCAACATCGAGTCTGGTCAGTACCTAGGTGAGTGACCACTTGGGAATACAAGAACCTGTAAGCGTGGATGTGCGGATGGTGTAATAGGTAAGGGGCCGGAATTGTTAATGTTTGAACCCATTTCTAATTCCAGTTGTGTTCGTTATCTCCACTTATGCGCAAATACCCTTGGGAAAGGTACGAATTCAACTCATCTTCCCCCTCCCTCCCCCCAACTTGTAGGACATATCAGTAAATCATTATTATCTCCAAAGAAAACTCTTACAATCTAAAATATTTTCTGGCTTTAAATAACCAGCTAAGTGTTGATAAACCGTAAAATACAAATCAGTCTTATCTACAGGGTGTTTCAAAAAGAATACGCCAAAATCATCACGTGATATGTCAAAAACGAAAAAAATTACAAATCTCTAGCATGAACACATGTGTTGTATATACATTCAAGTTTCATTTCATGTTTTATAAGTGTTAGCTTTCTTGCTGATTTTGTGACATTAGTTATTACTAGCAGTAGAGCCCGGCGTTGCCCGGGGATGTAACAGTAAGAGATAGATCAAGTATCGACCATCATAAAGACTGAAAAATAAAATTGACGAAGATTATTGTTTAAGGTTGACGGACACGCATGTCTTAATTAGTTTTTTTTTTGTTTTTGTTTTTTTTTTACGAATTGAATTTTTTAAAGCATTCTGAATTTAAAAATAAAGAAAAATTGTAATATAAGACAAAAAGAAACACTAAGCCTGCCAAAAAAAGTTTTGTTGAAATCGGTTGAAAAAAAAAGTAGGAAATCCGATCCCATATATAAAATATAGGAACTGAACACACACACACACACACACACACACACACACACACACACACACACAACCTGGGTTTTTTAATAAGTATAACTTGATATGAGTTGTCCCCTTTCATTCTCATCATGCTTCAAAATCGTGTTTTTTCAAATTGATTTTGTGCAAAAAAAACAAATTGTGTTTTTCCAATTTTTTGACGCTGTCAGAACCACCGCAAGGTAATTTTACGTAGTCCTGTGAAGTTTTGTTGAAATCGGTTGAAAAATGTAGGAAATCCGATCCAATATATAAACGTACAGACACACACACACACGCACACACACTCAACCTGGGTTTTATAATAAGTATGATTATTATTATTTCATTTGACTTATGTTGTATACACATTTGACTTATGTTGTATACACATTTCCTTCTGGGTCCCAACCAGTGACCTAAAGTCAGAAATAACTTCACGACATTTTTCACTAATCATTTTTAAAAAAAAAAAATACTAAGATCACAGGTATTTTACAAAGATAAATCACTTCGTAATGTGTGAGCTGTACTTGTGAGTACAATTTTTTTTGTATTTCTTTCTGGCTATCAGGAATACCTTCAGTGTGTCTATTGGACACTTTTCCAATCAATCCGAAGGCTCTAACTACAACTGGAATTATTGCTGTCATCATTATTATTATTATTGTTTCCTTTGTGTTTTTTTTTTTTTTTTTTTTTTGTATACTCATTTAATTCCGGGTCCCAACCAGAGACCTAAATTTTCATTTTCTAATTCAAATTTAATCCACATATTTTTACATAGATTAAAGTTTTTTTTTGATGTTGTGACCAAGTAAATGGCTTAATGTTGAGATGTTGGGATGTTCCCGCCTGTGTGTATTCAAATAAAGACAAACACAGATGTAGGGAAAATTAGATTAGTAATAACGAACGTAGGTTTGTAATAACAATTAGCAAGAGTCTAAAGTCCAACGGTAACTTCCGGTAGAGAGACGGAAGTGTAATGGCCTCGTGATCTCTATGATCTCCTTCTCTCGTGATCTCTATGATCTCTCTAGCACTGACCTATATCGTAGAGATCAAAAGTTTCTCCTAGAAAAAATTTTCTGCGCCCCAACAAAAGAAATAACAAAACAAGTGTTGGAGACATATCATATATTAAGCAATAAGTACAACAAAAAGAATTACACGACTAGTAAATGTGTGTCGGATGACCCAGTGTTCAATCTATTCGACTGTTACCCGAAGGCCTTCTCTCCTACTAATTTTATAGTAGGCGAAAGAGTTTTAGACTCTTTAGAGGGAGGATACCACAAGAGTAATGTGTGAACTGTATTTGTGAGTACAATTTTTGGTATTTCTTTAATGTATGGCTACCAGAAATCCCTTCAATGAGTCTATCTCAACCTTTTCCTATAAATCCGAAGGCTCCAACTATAACTAGAATTATTGATGTCCTCATGTACCACTTTTTTTTAAGATGTCAGCTTCAAGATCCTTGTATTTTGATATATTTTTGCAGATCTTCAAAGATATATTACAATCTGCATGAACTGCGATGTCAATAAGAAAGCACATCCTGTCTCTGTGGTCCTTGATCACAATGTTTACGCGATAAGTTTTGATTGTTCTGTCTGTGTGTCGTAAAGTCCCATAAAATTGTTACAGGTCCTGTTCTTTAACCCGGTCTTTCAATGTTTATACCAGTTTCTTGCAGTTTCCTTCCTGTAAAAGTTGGATATTTTCCAGCGAACATATTGACCCACTCTATCAAGCCGAGTTTTATATTCAGTGGGTGCTTACACAACGTATTATTATTATTATTATTATTATTATTATTATTATTGTTGTTGTTGTTGTTGTGTCTGTCCTTCTCTTCGTTAGTTAGAACGATCCTTACGCCCTGCCAATATCTCATAAATAATGGACTAGTACACGTTTTGATCGCGAAGCAAAGAGGGGAAAGGACATTACTTGGTTTCAGTGAGAAAATGAAAGAATGAAAACATAAAGAAGGGAAAATGTGAGTATGGGAGAAGGAAAGAGATTCAGACTGAGCCGAGTCTGTTGCTTTGATCTCGGTCAAAAGACCGAGAAGTCAAGGCGACCGCTATAAATTCGCCATTTTTCAGACGCCAGAAATTTGGCACGAAAGAAAATAAGATAGAAGGGTTTTGACGTCTCCTGCCAATACCTCACACATAATGGTCTATTCCGTTTTGCTTGCATAGAAAAACAAAAATTAATGACTTAGAAAGCTCGTGGCGAATTCTACGACAATAAAATATCAGTAAAAATTCTCATATCGTATCATTAAATATTTGAACTTAACAACTTTAACAAAAATATTGCAATAACAATCATAAATATGAATGCTGGTCGTTATTTTAAGAAGTAAGAAGAAACAGTTTGGTGTTGACCTCAGTATATATATCTTATGTATAAAGTGCAGTGTATGTGTGTGTGTTTGTGCGTTTATGTTTCCAAGCAACACCTCTGCTCCGACTGGTCCGATATCAATGATTCATAGTTCATTCAAAAGCCCAAGGAAAGGTAAGTGCAGGAACGATTTTCATTGAGCTCAGATTCAGGGTTGCCAGATTAGATGCTAGCCATTATCGTTGCTTTCATAGTTCAAGGGGAGTAACTCTTATTTTTCTGTTGTATCCAAAATTGCAGTTTCATGTATTATAAACTAGCTTTTGTGGAACACTTTGGTTTGACCACCACCTTTACAATAGCTAGGGATTATAAAAATTTTCCCATGGGAACGGCTTTTACGATAGTATATATATATATATATATATATATATATATATATATATATGAGAAATAATGTGATAGTGAAAAAAATCTGTCTGTGGATGACAATATATATATTTCCTTTCTTAAAATTTTGAGACTCTCTGGGGAAAAAAATGGGTTTTTAAAAGGTGACTATTTTGATTTTTATATTTACTCTTTTTATTTTTAATCGAGTCCTCTCATTTACTATGTGTTTATCTAGAAAAAATAAATAAGCTAAAATCCAATTACGCCCCTGCCGTGCCCCGACGGCTTAGTGGTAAAAAATATGTTTTTTATGACGCCAATTCAGCCGGGTTTCGATCCTAGCTTAGAGGCAAAAATAAACGTTGTAAGCCACAATTCATGAAGAGCTGCGAAACAGTCTGTCTGTGGATGACAATAATAATAAACTAAAACTTGCTGGAAATAACTCTATCACCTGTAATAATTGCTAAAATAAATACGTCGGAGAAACTTCATGAAATTTAAATAAAAGATTATATGAACATTTTACAAAATAACACTCAATGAAT